TCATGTTTTAAGTGAAATGAATTTCCGTTTTACCATTATTGGTGTAACAGAAACTCGTATATGCGATCGTGAATGTAGTTCCAATTTTGTAGCAGAATTACCAGGATACTGTTTTGAATCAGTCCCGAAACCTTTATCTGCCGGTGGTGTTGGCCTGTTGATTGATAAAAACTGTAAATACCGTGTCCTTGAACGAGTCTCCAATTCTCGCTATCAAGCCCTTTGGATTGAACTTCATCTGCCTAACAATAAGAAATCTGTATGTGGTGTTACTTATAAGCAACACAATAACGCTAATGAGTTTCTAGAATACTTGTGAGATTTTCTTGAACACCAGTGTCGTCAAAATCAAAATATTTATCTCATGGGAGACTTCATATGAAACTTGTAGTTACACACAGACGTTGCTGCAAACGGTGCAAAGTTTTTCAATGTTCCCAGTGGTTAATAAGCCGACTAGAGTCTATGGTAATTCAGCAACCTTAATTGACAATATTTTCATAAATAGTTCTTTACAACAGACCACTTCTCTCAGATATGCATATTAACGTCGCACTGTAAAACATTCTTTTCAAACAACAAAACTAAGGTTCAAGACTATACTACTTTCAATGCAAAATGTTCATTGACGACTTGCAGAATATTAACTGGAATAATATTTGCAAACATACTGATGCCAATCAATCGTTCTCCAGGACAATTAATAAACACGCCCCTTAAAGAAGTATATCCAATAGTAAACAAAAATTCCTTGCTAAACCATGGCTGACCGCGGGTTTAGGAAAATCAATCAGGGTAAAGAATAACCTCTTCTATACCCAGACTGGGACAAATACAAAAATCATCTCTCCTAAGAGATTAAGTAAAACGAACTACTAACAAAGCTTTTTTGATCTCAGCATATGTAATATGCGTACCCCGCGCGTCAATTTTCTAATAAAAGATTACAATTTTAATTACATGCACACGAACTTAATTAAAGGGGAGAAATGTCTTTTGGCCATTTTTCATAAACGATTTCTAATTTATTTTTCTAGTGGAAATATATTTTTCAACTTGGTATTTAATTCTTACTTTAAATTTGAAACCTTCGATGTTTTGTCCAATACCATCAACTGTCGTGATACAACTCACTTTGAATTGGAAGATGACTATCGCACAAGTTGTCGAAACATCAGTCACTGTCAACAACAATAGTCCAATTCAGGACTACTTTCACCCGGATGATCAAACTCAACCTAATTTTGTAAAACTCTTATATTAGGTTCAAAGGATTTGAACACACCATGATCATACTTCTTCTTCTTCTTCTTAGCGACTGTTCTTTCTCCTATCTCGTGCCATTTCAACAGAAGGTCATCGCTAAAACAAAATTGTGAACAAACTCACGACCATACTGTAGTACCAGAAACTTATGTAAACGAGGAATAAAGGAATGACCGAAAATAATCACACTTATTTCAGACTGTTCAGACAGTGTTATGGTGCAGTTTTGCAAAGGAAAGAAGGAACAAAATCACGTAAAAAGGGATAAATTTAAGGAAAAATAAAGAAACACCCAAATACAAATTTGAAACTTGCCTGAAAAAATTGGGATGACTTCTGTTTAAAAACGTTTCTTCAATTCCACAGGTTTCATTGGCGAGGGATAGAAGGACAAATAGTCCGAGCGCCTCTAATTCTATACATACCAAGATCCGGCCTGTAATCTTATTTGTCAATCTTCGATCCTGGTACAGACATCCTCACGAGTTATCTGTTCACAGGCCTCGACATAAAAAACCATATCTAAACAATTTTTGTCTTTTATGTAATTGAACAGTCTATCTATGTGAACAATAATCGATTTTATTGTACATTGTTCTCACTATCTGTATTATCATTGGCTAAGAGCTTACAGCTAATTTTGGAAATCAGCGGAACCTACAGAGTAGTTAGTTATCTGCTAGCAGATAACTGTAGGTTGCGCACGCAATGCATGATTTCCAATAACAGTATCAATTCAGGTTCCTTATGACGGTGTTATTTTCTGGAAAACAATGTATAATAAAACAATTATTAGATTCGGTTTTTGTGATATCCTAAATAATCGAAGTCTCTGTACGTGCTGTCAGCCTCGGTCTTCGGCTCGGCTGATAACAGTTAACTCGATCTTGATTATTCTGGATATCACAAAAACCTCATCCAATAATTGTTTATAATAAAGTTCTCGGAAAGTGTGATAAGCCTCGCCCTTCGGCTCGGCTGATGACACTTACCTCTACCTTGACTATTACGGATATCACTTACACCTCATCCAATAATTGTTTAGTAGTTGTATAATAATGAATTTAAAGTACCCCCTAACAGACTTTCACAGGACAATTCAGTGGTTTTTATATTCCTTTTGTTTACTGATAATTATTGGCCTCCCAGTGAAGTTTCTGATTTGCTTGTTTACATGCTACAGCATTTTTTGACGTTTTAGAGTCTCTATGACCTTTTTCTAAGGGCAGCCTTTGTTCAAGGGTTGTTTGTTATTGGTGTTGATTTTCCTGTCACCCGTAAATTTGATGGGCGGCAGCATTTGATCAAGGAAATATATATGGTATTGCATGAAAAAAATTACTGAAATGGGGGTATGAATGAAGTCATTCATCATATCCAAAAGATAATATTCCTGCAAAATAAATTGCTTCAAAATATGCTTGATGCAAATTTACACATTAAACATTAAAATAGTTTCTCCAAGCCTGGTCCTGCTAGCTCGCCATCAAGGCACTGTCATCATCGCCTTCAGTGTCATCATCTTTGTAGCCGGTTTAATTACCATCTACCGCAGGGAAAGTAACCCTCATCTTTTTTCATAGAAAATTAAAAAGTGAGTTTTAAAAATTTCAAGTGTAAAGTAACAAACCTTCCACTGGCTTTGAAAAAACATCCCACTTCACTTGAAATGACTGTACATCTTTTACAAACACACCAAGAAAAATCCGTCCGGCGACTTTCAATGCTCAAAGATTGACATTACGAAACTTCTTCCTCCTCTGAATCCACGGGTTCTTTCTTCTTCTTCTTCCAGAATTGTGTCCAGGCAGCCAGGGCGAGCAACCTTATTACGTAATGACCCCAGAGAGCCTTGCACGCCTCTGAAAGTGGCGGATGTGGGAAGTTCCAATCTGTCATTCCATAAGCCTCTTTTGAACGGCAAAAAAGTAACTAAAGAAAACGAATATATTGGGAAAAATGTCCTTCGGAATCTTAAAGAGCACTCTGAGCAAAATTATTAAGAGTGGTGTTTTCGTGATAGGATATTTTAGCGCTTTTGTCTACCTAATTCTTTCGTTTATTTTTTGTTTCTTTTATGCAGATATCTTCAAGATAACAAAATCCAGAAACTGGAAAACGGAACGTTCTCAGGTCTGAATTTTCTAGACACACTGTAAGTTGTACTCGTTTAAGTGCTATTTATTTATTTGAATTTTTCTGTTGTTTTCGGATTTGCATTGGAGTTAATGCTAGAGTAATGTAAAGTACAGACACTATCATCACTATACTACACTATCAATCCATGAATCTACCGACTTTAATAATAACGGACTCAGTTGGTAAAATCAGTCCTACTTCTTCTTTTAATGCTTTTGTTTGCTTTTGTCCCTTTGTTATCTCAGAGAGGAATTCAATTGCGATATGTTATATTCAAATAACGTACATAGTGTGAGGTACAGACTCTTTATCTCAAATGTCCCAAATTGCGAACCATTGAGAGAAACTGAAATTACGGAAGTAGATTATTTAGGCGATATCCATTAGGGAGTAAAAGAAAAGGATCGGGAGAGAAAGCGTGTATATATTTTCACAGGATTTCCACGTTCCAGATGAATGTTTTCCACACCAGTGCCAACGAAAAGAGAAGATAATAAATTTAAGCTTAGTCGGCTCCTGACTACATGTTTCAAAATACTCTCTTTGCATGACTTGATCACGTGATCAACTTAAGCTAAACACGAAAACAGTTCACTCTTGAAAAATTTTGTTAGCACAAGCTGAAGGACCATATTTAAATTAGCTAACCTGAGAATTTTCAGTCGTATATCTCAAATTAGCAATTGCAACGGCCGTCAAAAGTTGGAAGCATTTGTTTGAGAAAAACAACTTTTGCCATCCAGTCACGCTTGCATGGTTTTCCATACAAATCCTCGTAATCTCGAAATTTTCAACACTGTCATGAAATATTTCCTTAAGCATTACAGGGTTCAAATTTCCTTTTAATTCATAAAGGCAATTTGAGCCGTTAAATGCGTAAAGGAAAGATTTAACGACAGTTTAAAAATTTTAGACTTTACAATGATTGTATGGAAAACCATGCAAACATGACTAGGTGGCAAAAGTTGTTTTTCTCATACAAATGCTTCTAACTTTTGGCGGCCGTTACAATCGCTACTTTTGAGATACACGACTGAAAATTCTCAGGTGACTTAATTTTGATATGCTCTTTCAGCTTGTGCTAACAAAAATTTTTCAAAAGTGAACTGTTTTCGTATTTACCGAAAGTTGGTCACGTGATCAAGTCATGCAAAGAGCCTATTCAAATTTTTGCAAAGAAACACAAAACCGTTTTTGGATTCATAAATTTCCACAAGAAACACACCCTGAGAAACACCGCAACCAATGTTTGCAATATATGGGTACAGTTACCGTGCGATTATCGGAGGCGAAACGAAGAGTGGAGGCCAAGTATATATTCAAGGTTATACAATTTAATGGTTAAATGAGATTACATGAGCGAGGCCTAAGGCCAACTGAACTATTGTACAATCACGTCAGGATATATAAGTCGAGCGCGGTTGCTAAGTAAGAGGATTAAGGGCTAATCCCACATCCCGCTTTCTAGACATTTTGGTACTTCTATAAGAATGTCTCTGTGCAAAGTTCTTTAATGATAGGAAGCGAGTCAATCACGTATTTCGATCACGAAACGAATCACTTATAACAAAGGTTCTTTCAGTCCTAATCAAAACCTAATCTCTTGGGCGGGTTGACTTTTCTTCTGGAACGAAGAACAGGAACGAAGTTCCAGGAACAGGAACTGGAATGGAAGACTTTTGAGCAGACCGTAAAGCATCCTTCCTCTCCGCCAGAACAGGTGGCTGATCCTTAGAGGTTTCAGGAGGATCGGGTAAAGGGCTTCCTGCTGCGTACTTTGCTTCTGTAGGATTTGGATTGAGCTGCCCTCTGTTTCTTCTAACAGTTGCGTTACTGTCAGTGTGGAGGTAATAGGAACGTGGCTCTTGTGTTTTGGCTACTACTACCGCGTTCTCTTTACGATCAGGGATATAAGCACGATCGCCTGAAGACAGATGACTTAGCTCTTAAACTGCATGTCGTCGGTTTTACTATTTGTTTGCTCGGTCTTAATCTTGGCTTCCTTTTCACGCAATTTCTTTAACTCAGGCCATTGCGGTGTTAGTTTAGATGGAGTAGTTGGAAGGGTGGTGCGTAGTCGTCTTCCCATGCATAGTTCGTTTTCAAGTGGGGTAGCTCTGTAAGCGAGTGGTGCTTCATATGGATCGTCGGATTTTGTAAGGAGGTTTCTAGTTGTTTGCACCATACGTTCGGCTTCTCTGTTGCTTTGGGGGCGTTTTGGACTGCTTGTAATGTGTGTGAATCCCCAGTCTTCTGCAAATTTGGCGAATTCCGCTGAAGAAAACTGTGGTCCGTTATCGGAGATCACGGTTTCTGGAATTCCATGGCGCACGAAAATCGCTTTTAGGTGATTGATCACTTCTTGAGAGGAGGATTTTCGAAGTACTCCAATTTCACAATATCGCGAGAAGTAATCTGCAACGACGACGAATTCTTGTCCTTTCCATTCGAATAGATCGGTCCCTACTTTTGGGAATGGGCGCTCGGGTAACTTTGAAGGAATTATGGGCTCCGCACGATTAGTTTTCGTCTTGATGCAAGTAGGGCATTCTCTGACAAGATCTTCGATCTGCTTTCTGAGATTCGGCCACCAGACACCACCTTTCGCCCTTTCGCGGCATTTCTGGATGCCTTGATGACTTGTGTGTATCTTGTCTAATACATCGAGCCTTAACGCTGAGGGAATGATAACTCTGTCGTCTTTCATTAGGATTCCCTTCTGAACAGTGATTTCTGCTCTGTACTTCCAGTACATTTGGAGTGAACAATTCAGGTGATGTTTCTCCGGCCAGCCTTCACTGAAGAACAGCTTAAGCTTTGAACAAACTTCATCTTCATCCTGACGAAGGCGTATTATTTCTTGCAAGCGGCGCTCTGTAGTTGGCAGGCATTCTACTATGTGTGAAACAGAGAGGTTTAAGTCTTCATTAAGTTGCTTCTCGTCTTACGTGAGACTTCGGTGAAGCGGCGCTCTTGATAAGGTATCAGCTGTGGTGAGATCTTTTTCGGGTGTCGCATCCGGAACCTCTGAATACGTGGTGGCATGTCCTGGAGACATTTAGATGCCAGGAAGGGCACCAATAGCTTGTGGTCCATTTCCATAAGGAACTCTTTACCGAGGACAAAGTCGGCAAACTTTTCGCAAGCCCAAGTAGTTGCGAGTGCTTCTTTCTCTATTCGAGCGTATCTTTGTTCGATAGTTGTCATAGAGCGCGAAGCGAAAGATGCATAGTCTTCTCGGACAGGTTTTCGATGAACTTCTGTTGGTGGTCGATCATTCCCAGGAATCTTCGTAGTTCTGCAACATTTTGCGGTCTCTCCATTTTTTGGACAGCTGCAATCTTGTCTGGATCGTGGCCTATTCCTTGAGCACTGAGACTATGGCCCGCGAACTTTAATTTAAAATTCGCACTTCTCTGGGTTCAGGGTGATTCTTGCTCTGATCAATCTGGTTAAAACTGCTTCAAGTCGTTTATCGTGTTCTTTTTGCGTCTTTCCATGCACAAGGATGTAATCCATAATGCATATCAATCCTTCCAAACCTTCCAGCTCGTCTAGCATTCTCTTTTGGAATCGTTCTGGTGTTGATTTTAAACCAAAGGGGAGTCGCTGAAAACAATATCTGCCAAAGGGAGTCAGAAACGTAGTCAGGAGTTGAGAGTTTTCTGCTAGCCTCTCCTGCCAAAAACCGGAATTTGCGTCAATTATTGTGAACACTGTGGACTCTCCAATCTCTCCTAGCAAGGTGTCAATCTTTGGAAGTGCAAACGTTTCACGGCAAACGTTTTCATTTAGCTTTGTTAGATCCATACCTATTTGGATTTTCCCGTTTGATTTAGGTATTGTGACCATTCCAACGCACCAGTTTGTAGGCTTGTCAACCTTTCTGATTACTCCCAGCTTCTCCATTCTGGAAAGTTCTTCCTTTACTTTGCTTTTCATTGGTAATGGAATACGTCTTGGGGTCATGATTGCAAACGGTTGAGCGTCTGGCTTCAACTGGATTTCATTTAGCTTTGTCAGATCCACACCTATTCGGATTTTCCCATTTGATTTAGGTACTGTGACCATTCCAGCCATCACCTGCAAAGTGGAAATAGAAAACTTCACTCAACCGAGGCTGCGCTACTTCACTTCACCGATGAATTGCTTAATAACATGGATCAAAAGAAGATATCTGTTATTGTTCTTTTGGACATTTCCAAAGCTTTTGGTAGCATTCGACACGATTTAATGATACGTAAACTTCGCAAAGCTGGTTTATTTGAGTCTGCTTGTGCCTGGTTCGAAAGCTATTTATCGCAACGCCAACAAGTCGTTAAATTTCAGAATACTGTATCTGATGCCTTACCCCTTACGGTACCGCAAGGATCCATCGTGGGCCCGGTGTTATTTACATTGTATGGAAACGACCTCTTTCGAGTTCCAAAACATTGTGAACCACTCGTCTATGTGGATGACACCAAACCCTTCCTTGTGTTCCCCGCCAGCGAACTTAACGACGTTATCTCTGCAGTAAACGAAAACCTTAAAGAAATATCGATTTGGTGCGGTAGAAATTCGTTGCCCATTAACCGTGACAAAACAAAGCTCCTTCATGTGGGCGTCCCACAACTCATGAGGACATATTACCTACCCGTTAACCAAGTGCGAAAATGCTGGAAACTCAAATCAAGCCTGTAACAGTTGCAAAGGACCTGGGAGTGTATATAGGTTGTCATCTTATTTTTAACGAACATATCACTAAAACTGTCTCTGACTGTATGTTTAAACTAACGAGAGCTAATAGGATAACGCATCTCTTAGATAAAAAAACATTGATCCATCTTATAAATGCTTTCGTCGTCCGCAAATTATTTGATCGTTCGATGGTATGGAGTAGCACGAGCAAGAAGAACGTTAGAAAACGTCAGCTAGTTCGGAACTATGCCTACAGAATCGTAGCTGGTTTAAGAAAGTACGATCATGTTTCACGAGCCCAGAAGTCCCTTAACTGGCTTAACGTAAGGGATAAACTGCTTTTTAACGACCTAGTGATCGTGTACAAATCCTTAAAGAACCTAACACCTGGTTACCTTCATGGACGCTTTTAATTTTTAATAATGACCTAACGTTGCCTCGGTATAGGCTTGCCACTGGTCAAAAGACTTTCACCTACGGTGGGGCAAAACTGTACAATAGTATAGCCTTAAGATATGAGACACGGGAAATCTTAACGTTTTTAAAAAGAGAATTTTCAAATATCTTTTTTACTTCTTAGATAGTTTTTTATTATTGAAACGTAAATAGTCTTTAAAATTAATGTTTCATTATTACCATTATTACTTATAAAAATTCGTTATTTTATCATCGAAATGTAAAGAGTTTTCTAGTTTATTTTATTTTATTTTTTTGTTCGTGTATGTATGGCGGAAGAGCTCCCAAGGGGAAGCTATGCAATAAAGTGTGTATATATGTATGTATGTATGTGTGTATCTTTGCACGTAAGTAATAGGCCACTTGCACTAAGAGTCACGTGACCAATGCTTCCATTAAACATTCAGTTGGAATCTTGCTGATGACAAAAATTGACAGAGCACATAAAAATTATCTTATAGCCGAAATTTGAGAGGAAACGCATTTAGGGGAGATATTTTATGGCACTTTGATTTTTCAACAAAGCAGTATGATTTGTATTGGCCGCCATGCTGGAGGGCATACTCTTGCCCTCCAATATGGCGGCCAAAACTACTTTTTGCTTATATCTTGTTAAACGTTTGATAGTTACGCTCAGATGTGTTGTAAACGTTACCGCATCATTTTTTCAACATCCTCCTTGAAGTTTAAGTGCAAAGCTTGTGTTCAGAAAGAAGTAATTCATAATTTTAAAGATCACATTTTGGTCACGTGACTAGCGAGGAACTTGCTTATTTTAAGAAAATGGTGCGGGTTTGAAAAACCAAATCACTATTATTCTGTTTAAGATATGACCCACTAATCGTTTTTCGAAGGCAAAATCATATAGCTTTCATTTTCATGAAAACTATTTTACATGACCTCTTAGTGCAAATGGCCTATTGGGACAACCTTTATCAATAAGTGTAAAAACTTCACCCAATAGAACATTAAGATAAAAATGAAAACTAACACTCCGAACCCAAAGTGTGGAGTTAAAGTGGTGTAGTGTGAAATAATAACCTTAGCTAAGAGAGTAACTGATGAAAGTGTGGTAGTAATTGGAACCATAAAATAAAGGAAAACAGAGTCCGAATACCAGATACCCAGTATCTTGATAAGTTCCACCGGAATCATTGCCTGAAAGGCAAAGGAAACCCAACCCCGTCAGAAAGAGTGGCAAGCATAATCTGAGGCTGGCAGACCCAGGGAGCGATGTACAGAACAAAGTTTCCTACCCTAAAAACATAGGGTAGGTGCAGACCTGGTGAACCCAGAAACGAAAAGGCTAGGGAGCCAAAGATTGAAGTTGAGGGGTAGACCTATCGGCAGTTATTGGGACCCACCTTGGTAGAGATTTCCTGGTAATTATAGAAGGGGTGTGACTGGGCACACGGCTTCCCATTTATCTTACGGTTGCAAGCTTGCACAAAACTACAATCTTAATACGATTAGAGTTCCTACAAATGACTTTGTCATCAGGTGTTGAATTGGCAAAGGTAGTGCTTACTGAAGCATTATTGCTGGAACTTTTGGGGTTGGAAGGGGAATTTGGCTAAGCTCGTGCTTTCCTTTATTTCATAGCACTTTTTAAACATCACTCGCGTTCCCTCTGACTAAGCAAATGTTTAGGGATTTTTAAAAGCTTGAATCCAAGATAAAGACTATGTGCTGATTAGTGTTTATGCGTCGAACAAAGATAAAGACCAAGTGAAATTTTTCAACAACCTACTTTCAATTTTGCAAAATGAAAATCTGGATTCTTTCGATAACATTCTACTAGGAGGAGACCTAAATTGTGCACTCGATTCATTACTCGATAAAAAACTACAAACAACTACAAAAAGGAAGTCAGTTATCTCTTGTATCGACGGTTTCAAAAGTTATAAACGAATACAAACCGCCTAATATTATTCAAAAGTTACAGAGTAACTTTCATTTTAACAGGGACCACCTGAAACAAATATTTAAGCTGCCACACTCTATCGTTGTCGAGTCGTATCTTAAAGCCTTCCAGTACAAATCAATNAC